CTATGAGAATACGTACTCTGTTTATTATCTTCTTAGGCTCAAATCGAAAATTTTTAATAGCGTTAACAATTGCTTGTGCTGAATCAATGAGGTTTTTATAAACTGTTATCCGATAAAGCGCTAACTCTTCCTTGGAATAACCATTCTGATGTATTATTTTCATTTGTTTAACTATCGTCGATTTTCCAGATTCACCCGACCCTGAAAAATGGCATTATGCAATTAATTTCTAGAGTTCGCTTATTAAAAAACAGACAAAAAACTGACAGTGATAAATTGATCAAACGGGTTATAGTAACCCTCCATAGTTCTTGCAAGTAGCTTAAGCCAAATGTTATGACAAGCAAGACTTTCGTTCGAAATCTTGGAAACACGTGAATAATAGATGAATAAAATACCTAACAAGAGAATTTTACATTCTTTCTTGAATTTTTCACTGTCTTCTTTAATCTGTTTATCAATTTGAAGACTCCGTAGTCGCGATTCTTTTTCTTCTGCGGATAAACATAAGCCCATGTATACAGTTTTATATAAAATGAATGTATTGTTACTTATTTCTTTTCGTTATTTGAAACCTGTGTTTTATTTTAAAAGTATCGAAACAATTCGTACAAAACGGCAAGTCAGACTTAGTTACTCCATTAATTCCATCATTACATAGTCATTCAGTCATGTGCACATCTTAGTGTTACCAGAATTAATGGTAATTACGCTCAGCGAATTTAAATTTTTACGAATTGTTAAATCTGGTCTGGTCTATTCTATATATTTAAATAATCCATTTGATTGGCGAAATACCAATGCCAGATTAAATAGCATAATTGTATGTGCGCGTATAATTACTTGATTACACAATCGATGACAAAAGCATTCGACCACCTAAAAACAATGGGTTTCATTATGAAAATTTTAAAGATGATCGAATACTTTTGTTCTCCGTTCGTTTATATTCCAGATCACGCTTAATTTGCAGATTCCAATTATGCTATTAGTATTTCTCAGAAGCTTCAAGTCCATGATTTATAAGATCCACTGAAGTTATATGATAAGTTTAAATACATCTATGGGATCTTTGCCCTCCAAGACATTGTTACATGAGATTTTTAATTTAATAAAATCTATTTTGGCAAAAAAAAAAATTCCCACTTTAAATATACAAATCCGGATATATAGAATAACTTTTCTGTAATTAGTCAATCACATGGCCTAGCATATGATAACCGACCAATAAAACCACATTTATAACCAATTTAAACATTCAGTAATCCGGCGATCTGGATTTTAATTTTTTAATGGATTGGATTTAGGCTTCTGTACTACCGGTAGTACATTTTATAAAATTTATACAGAACCAAAAATATAATAA